TAAAATAAACATTCATAAGATTTTATCATGAAAAATATCTTTTTCATTGTATTAAATTTTATATTGCTTGTGCTAACTCATATGTGATAAGATTGCAGAAAAAAATTATTAGCCATTGTTTTTAGGCCAAAACTAGCTATCAAAAACTTGAACAAATGTCCATGACCAAATTTACAGGCCTCGACAGGAAGCGAAACCTTTAGCTCTTGCCCACACTCTCCTAAAATGGTTTACCTTTCCTAAAATGGTTTACACACTTTGCAAATGCATAAATAATTTATTTTGAAGAAATAAAAATTGGTCAAATTCAATAAGCATCATAGTTATATATAATAACTTATTAACTAAAATAAAAATTTTTTGAAAATAAAATATCCTTATATGACATATTTCTCTTAAATTAGATGTTCCTCATTAAATAAAGATACAAACATCAACATTCAATATTTACAAACAGTCTAAGTGACATTTTTCTCTTCTCCTAACAAAACTTGATTTATGCATCATAATTTGGATAACTATTATTCACTTGAAATAAACCTAAACAACAACAAATAATAAAACCAAACCACAAAATATGTGAGTAAATACATGAAACTAAATGGATTTAAAGATGGAATTTTTATAATAACCTTTCCAGCCAACCTTGGTGAAATTTTTGTATTTTTTTTTTTTTTTTTTTTTTGCTTACTCAAAACATTTTTTAACCATAGTTGGTATTGATTTAGATATTTAATCTGGTTATTGAGTAAATAGCCCATATTCCTTCAGACATTACTGCATTGTGAGTTAAGATATGTCAATGCCTTTTTCTCTTATTTGCTTGGTTATCAGATTTACTGGATTTTTTTGTTCTCTAAGCACATATCCCCAATTTTACTACTGGTTCTAAGGGTTTTTACAGGTTTTTTACAATAATTAATTTAATTTAAATAAATGCCGCATAAAAAATAATAATAAACAATTTAAATATTCCAATTGATTAAAGGCATATATAAAAAAATAATAACAATAAGTTTTTTTTCAGGTATTAATTTTTATATATATGTTTTTTGATATCGCAGAATCTGCTAATTATGTAAAGCTGACGTTACTATTATAGAACATTATTTTTCTAAACCATTATTTTTTGCAAAATAAAACTTAAATATATATTAAATATAAACAAAGACATTGCAAGAGCTTTAAGCATAAATTCAAGCAAAAAATTAATAATAGAGTTACATCCATAATAGAAATTTTTTTTAATTATGAAAAAAAAACTCTTTAAAAAACTCAAAATTTAAAATGTCAAGTGACACTAATATAAAATAAAATTTAACGAGTACCATTTTTTAGCTAATAATTCTTTGTTTTGTTTTTTATTTTTATTTTAAAATTTGGTAATTTTTTTTTACTGTTTGTTAGGAGAAATTGTCTAAATAAATATTCTTGCTCTTGCAAGATGATAAATAAAAGTTTTAATGATTCTTTCATGATAATTTTTTTTAAGCGTCGTATAACATCATTTTTTTTTCTTTTGCTGGACATTTTTGATGGAAAAGTTAGAATAATGAAAATAAAATTTTCTTTGTTATTTCTTAATTACATTTGTAAATGCATGAATATCAAGAGTAATTTTTATGCAAACTTCTTTATGCAACCTTCATTCAAACTTTAAAAGTGGTTTTTAAAATGTTAATTTCTTCTTTTATCTTACTACTTAAACAAGGGCTGACTATCTTATAGCTTGCTGCCGCAAGTATATATACATATATATGTATGTATACATATGTATATATATGTGTATATAAATATATATATATATATATATATATATATATATATATATATATACATAACTCAATGGTAGGATTTACATCAAATTCGTCACTGTTTGTTTCATTTGTGCATATCTGAATTAAATTATTTAGCCGTTTTTTGGCTAATCAATTTCTTGTGTCAGATTTAATTCTATTCATAAGAGAAAAAAGACGCTCAACTTTTCCATTTGAAACAGGCAATACAAACAACAATTCAACAAGAAGAAGAACTGGACTCCACTCTTTTTTCATAGTACTCAAGAAAATTTGATTCACATTCCCAGTGAAGCCAGCATAACGTAACGGCATATTATAAAAGTCATACAATTTTTCGATGTTATCATCTACATATAAATTATTTGTGTTATTTTGATTATTAGTATTAACATTCTGTACATATCAGGAACTGTATTTTGTGTTTCCAAACCCTCTTCTATGGATTTGGTAATTAACACTACAATCATTGATTTTGAATTCTTAACTAGAGTTAGTGCGTTTGTAAAATCATGAAGCTCGACATCCTGAAATGAATACTTTCCATTACTATTTGTTACTTTTGATAGGAAACGTTTGACTGTTGGTAAATCATTAAACTCTTTTTTCTGCAAACGACTTAACTGCTTTTTAGTTTGTTCAGTAAATCCAGAAGATGCTATTGAATCAATTTCGTTGCTTTGAAAAGATAAAGATAACAATTTAGCTGGCGATAAAATTTCTATGAATAATGCTATATAAAGAGGTATTCGTCCATAATTCCACTTTTGATGGGTTAGGGTTAAACTTTGCTCTTTAAACTTTGCTCTTTCTGCTTGGGTAAAACTGAAATCTGCAGCCATGTTTTCGAGATATTTCATATATACTCCATAGTTGTCTAAGAGCATCTCAAGTGCTTGAATTTTATGTGCAATCCATCGTGTTCCTATTTATTATTAAACAAATAACTTATACTTTTATAAAAAGTTTGTATTGCATAATATTTAAGCCAATTCAATTTTTTTATTGATCGAAACACTTTTTTATAAACAACTTTTGTTGTTTAAAAAGACGAGCATCTAATGAAGTATTACTTTATAAAGCCTTTTTTATAGAATAAATTAAAATGAAATCCAATATACCTGATGCTTTTTTGGGGCGAATACCTGCAATGTCAAATGCATTACCCTCTTCAAGAATAGCAACAAGCTCTCTTAACTGTCGTAACTTTTTGGGCGATTTTTTATAAATTGCATACATTTTCAAAATGATGTTATCGACATCATTAAACGCCTTTATTTCTCCAAATTTATCTTTTAACGTTAACTCAAGGCGATGTGCAACACACCAACCGAAAGTTATCCATGGAATTTCCTTTTGAAGTAATACATTGACACTTGTCCTATTTCCTCAATTTACAGATGCGCCAACTAATTTAGTTTTATAATTTTTGATACATTCTGAATCAAGGGATTGACTGATTTTATTGAAAATTCCTTCAGATGTTCCATATAGAAAGGAAAGAACATTCAAAGCATATTTTGGTCTTTCCTATAGGAGTTGGATCAAAACTAATAATAAAAATAGCTTCTTTTTCAATTACAGAAACATCTGTTGATGCATCAATTAAAATACTGAAATAATTTCGTGTTTTTAATTTATTTTTAAGATTATTTGATAGACTTAATCCAATATAGTCAATAAAAGTTCCGCAAGTTACTTTATTTCTATACGCTTGACCAAGCTCTACACCAAGCATAGTATTTTTGGGTATACGCTAAGTGGTAGCTCTTCTTTAAAAATAAAGTATCCTACCTCAAATTTTTTTCGAGTTAAATTTAAATCTTTCGTCATGGTTTTCAGGCCCGATAAAATGTTAGTTTGCCGCATTTCTTTCTGCAGGTTTATTAATTTATCATTTCGTTCGCTTACATCCATTCCTTTACTTTTCATTGCTAACTCATAAGCTCTTTGATGTGGCAACCCATTCGCATGATTACAGTGTTGTATCCTACAACTACCTTCATCGCTTCCCCACTCTGGCGTATATCCTTTATAAATATCAATTTGTCCAGCATACTGACGACATACAGTACATTTCAATGCTGTAACATAATTTCCACTATTTGATATCTCTAGCCATTCATTTGCATTATATTTAGCAAGCGTAGTGTTTATCCATTTTCGAGCTATTGTTAGCTGTAAATTTCTACTACTTAGTTTTTTCTTCTTTTCAACAGGTTGTTTTAATTCTGATCCTGCTTGTGTTAAAAATGAAAGTGTTGTTTGTCTCTTTTTATTCGCCTCCATTTTAAGAGGTTGATGTTTAATGATTTTCTTACAATATAATAATAGAAAAAAATGTGCAAACACGCAATTGCTAATTCAAAACTTATTTGAAAATAATTCATTCATTGCAATGACTTCGGAAAATGTGGGAAAGGTCACAATAAAAATAAATGAAAAGATTGAATGAAAAAAGATAGAAAATGTTCTTAGCTCATACATTAACTTCAAATAATAGTTAAATAAGAACTTCAGTCGTTACCGACGTTGGAAAAGTGATTGCACATTATATTTATCGCTTGTATCATTTTATAACTTTCATTTGTTTAAGTTTCATTAAAAATCATTTTATAAACTGCTGCTGGTAATTAGTTGATAATAATGTTAGTACCATTTAAACTGAATACTTGTTATTTAATAACCGTTTTATGAAATACTTCTATAATACTACTATATGTTAATTAAAACGAAAATTTATACTGATAATATATATATATATATATATATATATATATATATATATATATATATATATATATATATATATATATATATATATATATATGTGTGTGTTTAAGAATTCAGTAGAAGTAGAAAAAATCATATACGTTCAAAAACAAATGAATGTGTACTTTTACATTAAAATATTCAAAGAAAAGTATAATAGTAAATAAGATTTTATAAATACATTTAATGGCTTAACAACTGAAAATAAATTTAATAATAACTAAAAATACATTTAATCGATGGATTAATAACTGCTCAGAAAAATTCATACATAATTATGATATACTTTGCAAAAAAATTGATGTTACTATACAATATCAGAAGAAACAAAAATAAAACTAAAGCAAAAAATAAAAAAAATCAATTCAATATACCATATTACTCTACTTTATATTTAAATATGTTTAACAACAATAGTAATAAAATATTTACCCTTTACTAAAACGTTTAAATGGAGGTCTAATGACAGAGCGTTGACTAATAACACAGTGTCGTCCAATCCTAACATTAGCCAAATCTCCACGAACAATGCATTCAGACATTATAATAGTCTAAAAAACAATAACTTTTGTTTAAAAAATGATTGAGGGTGTGCAAAATTTATTTCTAAACGGATAATAACTATTATTTCTGGCAGCTAAATAACATTTTTAATTTTCATACTTCATTTAGTATAGCACTTTTTATAGACATTAATAATTTTATCTTATAAATCTATTATTTAGCCTGTAACAACTTAAAGGTTTTAAAGGGAATACCATCTCTTAACACATGCTGTGTTTATAAAAAAAAGATGTGGGTCATCTTTTTCTTTTTTTTTTTCTTTTAATTTTCACCCATAATCATTGCAATTTTGTTCTTTTGAAATTTGTACTTCAAAGATAAAATAAGATAGAAGTTTTACAAAATAAATTCAATATAAATATATTATTACGCTAAAAAATAAAATAAATTTTGATAATATATGATAAAACATGATAAAAAAATTTACAAAATAAATACACTTTTATATGTTTACATAATAGAAACCAATTTCTTTTTTCAGAATCTTAATAAAGATTTTATTCATTATCATAAATGTTTATATATTTTAATAATTATTATTATCAGTGATTGCAGTGATGGGGGAGATAAGAAACTTTTGGCCCTACCCACCTTTTTTCTGACATTTTACTTAGTTCAACATGGTTTGTCTGCTAAGTTATACTATGTAATATTTTTTTGTATATGCATTGTTTTTAAATATATTTATTAAGTGAATGAATTTATTTAAAGAGCAAAATTTTTTTAGGTTATTTAGAGAAAGTTAAAAAAAATCAAACCATAATTTAATAAATAAAACAGTAAAAATAAAGTATAATAATAACTAGACTCAAGTTTTTAAATGATTTGATTTTAAATGATTTTTAAAATGTTTCAAAAACGTTAAACAAACCTTGTGATATAATATATGAGTAAAACATTGTCGACAAAATTTCAAAACTTATCAAATGCCGCAATAAATAATTCCGAATAAAAATGTACTTCAATCATAATGTCCTATTAAAAATGTACTTCCACTACTGAAAGAAACAAGGCAATCTGGATGAAGAATTTTATAAGATTTTATAAGTCACATAAAAAAAAACTGTTCCATTAGAAGAACAACCACTAGAAAATAACAGCAGGATACCACTCACCATACAAATTGTTGTTTGCTGTCTATTCCTGGAAGAATCCATTAAGGGGAGACAAGAACCGATAAAACAAATTGAGCAAGAAGTAACAAGTTTAGGGCAAAAGAAATTAAATTTTCCACATTTATCAATTCAAGTCATACAGGCAAAACTATATCAAGTGTTAAAGACATACAATAAATGTTTAATCAAAGAAAATATGATCTATTGAAGTTTTTGACATCACAAAAAAAAAACAGTTAATGGTCCTGCAATGAGGACAAAAGTTTGTATCATCTTCAGATTGAAATCTGCGAGTTCAAAAACTATCCATCTATCCAAAAAAAGAAAAATACCCTTGAGCCTACTTCAACAACAGTACCAGCAACAGCAACATCTCGTTCAACATCTGATTCAGAAGAACAGTCCACAAGTACCAGCGAAACCCATGCTGCAACCAAATTAGTAACATCTTTAAAGTTATCAAATTTTGATGGTATTAGTCACCAAGAATATCAAGTGTTGAAGAATAAACAAAGAAAAGTTACAAGCAGAAGATCTACCAGATGGAAAGACAAAAAACCAGATGGAAAAGCATACTTTTAATAAAGGAATAACAGCTATTCTTAATGAACACATTTTTTTTCATGTTAATTAACCTCCCCAAGGTCCAGAAGGCCACTACAGTTGAGGAGGCTACTTTAGTTGTGATTACAACCCTCTCTCAAATCTATAACACAAACCTTGACAAATAAGGCCTCTGCACAGAGAAGCAAGTTGAGTGCAGTACTACCAGGGATATAGTGAGAACCAAATTTATTGAAGAGTATAAAGATGATTGTAGTGGACACTATGAATGTAAACACTGGAAGAAGGATTGTCAGCCATTTAAAAAGATGTTTTACTAAAAAGAAACTGAAAGAACCACAAATTATTGGCTGTTAACATAATGTTCTTGACCGAGTCCTTTGCGTAGTATTAAATGAATGTATATTAATCTATAACTATGAACCATTAGTTATAGATGAATCTACATTCATTCAATATATTCATTCTGATAATCATCTGCATTGTACATTTGACTGACCAAATGTAAATGCAGATGATTATCAGAAGGTGTGTAGCGGTCACAAAAAAGTGTATGTATTTTCAATAAGTTTAACACTTTTTTTGTACAATCACAAAAAGCATAAAATTCATTGAAAATATTTTGAAATTGAAAATAAAAATGGAGAGTGGAAAGTCCCAGAACAAATCATTGTGCAGAATGAGCAATCAAGTGTCTTCAAAATCTTTTTGATATCTGTAAAAAGAAAGAGAACATCCAGCTAAGATTTTTTTTTTGTCTAACAAAGCATAGGAATTGTATAATACGCTTTAAGCTGAATACTACACAAAATTGTTCGATATATAGAATTGCTTTGTCTACATGCAGAATTTTTATTCAAGTTTGTAATTTTATATTTATTTGTAAGTTAAAGTGTTAGATGTAAAAACAACATAATAATTCTAAAAGAAAAAAGATTTGAATTAAAAAATAACAATCATAAAAACGTATATATATATATAAATTATATATATATATATATATATATATATATATATATATACATACATACATACATACATACATACATACATACATACATACATACATACATACATACATACATACATACATACATACATACATACATACATACATACATACATACATACATACATACATACATACATACATACATACATACATACATACATACATACATACATACATACATACATACATACATACATACATACATACATACATACATACATACATACATACATACATACATACATACATACATACATACATACATACATACATACATACATACATACATACATACATACATACATACATACATACATACATACATACATACATACATATATATATATATATATATATATATATATATATATATATATATATATATATATATATATATATATATATATATATATATATATATATACATATGTTAGGGTAGGCCAAAGCACCAGATAAATTTTTAAAAGAATCATTTTTACTAACAGCTGCATAAAATACTGTAAGTTTTATTATAAAAATAATTTTGGATATGAAAGTGTTTACTCTCGAGTACTTAATAAAAGAAGGGGGAGACGTTTGTTATTTTTGGCAAAATTTGTCCACAAACTCTAAGCTCTCCTCCTTTATTAATTTTGTTATCAACAAAAATTTTATCTCAAAGCTAAACAAAAAAACAATGAAAGTTGGCCTTGAAAATTAGAAAATAGTTATTTCAATCACTAATAAAAAAAAAAACTTTTAGTGTAAAAAGGCTTTAAAAATTGTTGACCTAGTTAATCTCGCTTTATCGAAAATGAGCTTTTGGAAACTATGGTTAAACAGCTGTTAGAAAATGCGCATTTGATCACAAGCCATTCTAGAATTAAATAGTTAAACAGGACTAAAATCCCCCCTATCCTTTTATTCCCACCCCCTCCCCTTTATATTAAGGAATGAGTATGCAGCTAATCTCTGTTAAATTCCATTTCCAGTCTGAATTATTTGGATAAAACAAAAAGACAAAACTTCCATTGCATCTTTTTTTTTATTATTAAAAAAAAATATATATATATATTTTTAATATGATTTAAAATTTTAAATTTTATATAAGTATCACCAACTTGAATCAAAAATAATACTTTACAACAAAAAATCTACTTAAAAGAATATATTAAGATAATAATAATAATAATTTATGAAACTTTACCACATATAAAAAAATTTGTTTTGCAATGATTTTCAAATCCAATGATTTCTTTTTTTAATTAACATGCTTAAAATGGTGAGACCAAATATTATACTTATTTTATGCTTATTTTTTAACAAATTGTTTTAACCCTTTCATCTATATAATTATAGAGGAGGCTTGAATAGTTAGGTGGAGGAGATGCAACAATAAAAAATTATCGATGGATTGTATTAATTGTGGGGGTAGGTGAAAATATGTTCAAGTTAGCGCAGACTGGGGGAAATGCTCATTAGATTTTGGCATAATCATTATTTATAAACAAACTTTTATATCTTGTTTACACTAAAAAACTGGAATACAAAATTACTGAATGTAAGTTAGGATGGGTTGATATACCACTTCGCCACCATTTTATAAATACAAATAGCAATGATTAGACAAGATGGTATTTTGAAAATACAAAAAATGATTCTGTTGCGTTTTTTTGAAAATACAAAAAATGATTGTTGCGACTAAAAATATTCCTTTTGACCTAAAGTTGCCCAAAAGGGCAACTCTTGATTATTATTTGCAGCCCTAGTTTCTTTTTTTTATTTCCATTTAAAAATTCAATAAAAATAAAAGCAACTAAAATAATAATAAAACTAATAAAAATTATCTAAAATAATAATGAAATAATATTTTGGAAGTCAAAAACGCCAAAAATTTGTTTTCTGCATTTCCTATTATTAAGTAAAATATAAAAAAATTGTACGAGTGTTTAAACTTAAAAAAATACCATCCCAAATAAAAACTAAAGTTTCATCATTTTTTTATCTTATTTTTATTTACTATTATTTAGAACTAAATTAAAAAAAAAATACTTCACAGGCCTTGCTAAAAAGAGTTAGGCTTTTATTTACAGCTTGTATTTTACGTACGCATTTAGCACTTTCACATTGAGCAAAAACATTTTTTATTTTGGAATTTTTAAATTTTTAATATCAAACATAAATTCAATAAAAACACGATAACTTAAAATACTTTCAAAATACCAATAGTTTTCAGGCTCTTGTAAACAAATAAGATCTTAATAAATACAATAAATTAAAAGCAAAGGGTTATAAAGTATTTGTAAATTGCCTTTTATATAAATGTCAAAACTTGTTTCCTTGCTTTTGTAAAAAAGAGCGCCTATTCTTTTACAAAATAAGTGCTCAAATAAAGTAAAAAAACTGCTATCAATAGTTTGTAACAAAAATTTTATTAATGCAAATTATTTCTAGTCTTCACTTAGCCCTATATATAACCTATATATAGCCCTATATATAGCCCTATATAAGGAAAAATGACGAGTGTATGCGAGAACGCTGCTGAATACAAAAATTTGTGCAATAGTGACTGGCTACTCAGTTAACTATAAAGTTAACTTTTTTAACTTTATAGTTAACAAAAAATTTTTTTTTGAATATGAGGTTATTAAATGAAACGTAAAAAAAAAACCATAACAGTAATATATATAATAATATATAACAAAAACTTTTATTTATCATCTTTCAAGCACAAGAATATTTATACAACTTTTGATTTACTTAAATTTCTATTTAATAATAAAAATAAATTAATTAAAAAAAAAAAAATTAAAATTTATTATATATATTATGATACATTTTCGTATATATATAGATTAAAATATATTTTATCATATTTATATGTAATAAATATATAATTTAATTCTAATTAAAAAAATATATATTTAAGTTTAGATGAATCTACATTCATTCAATATATTCATTCTGATAATCATCTGCATTGTACATTTGACTGACCAATTAAATTATATATTTATTACATATAAATATGATAAAATATATCTTAATCTATATATATATGAAAATGTATCATAATATATATAATAAATTTAAGCTTTAAGCTTGAATTATTAGTGCTTTTCAGGTGACAAAATCAATCATTACAATAAAAAAAATTAAAGATTATTTAAAAAAATTTTTTTTTTAAATTAATTTATTTTTATTATTAAATAGAAATTTAAGTAAATAAAATTAAAGTTAATGCTTGGGTTTAACTTAACTGTCAAATTTATTTGAAAGTATTACTAAATATTATTCAATATTTAAATTTTATTTATTCTTAGAAATATATATATATATATATATATATATATATATATATATATATATATATATATATATATATATATATATATATATATATATATATATATATATATATATGTATATATATATATATATATATATAAACAAGTTTTTTTACTTAAAAAACAGGAACTATAAAAAATAAAAATAAAAAAAAGGTGGTACTCTTAAATATTTAATACATGGAAGTTGATGTTTATGAATTATTAAAACCCCCTTTTCTCTTTTATTCAATTTTACTTGTTGAAAACAAAGAAACTGCATCTCATTAAAAAAAAAAAAAAAAAAAAAAAAGTTATTATTTTCTAAATTTTAAAACCAGTTTAGGTCTTAAAAATTAGAAAATATAAACTCACTTATAGAAATAAAAAAACTCCCACCCACTTGTTTATTAAGACCTACCACCCCTCCCTCCTATCCTTTTAAACTTCCCCTATTTATTACATCTAGACAAAAATTCCCACACATCATTTTAATCCCACCACACCTTGTATTGAGAACCTGAGAGTAACTTAAAAGTAATGAAACTGATTCATATTGTTTCTTTAGCTATTGTTGACTTGCCTTTTTTTTTTGGCAGTTTTATAAAATCAAAAATGTATTAAAATTTTACTGGGGGTGAGTTGAATTATAAAAATGCAAATTTAGTTAGAGCTATCACAAGGTATTGGATTATGGTTTTTCCTGAAACAGAAAAAAAACATTATCAAATATATATTATTAGTAGATAAAAACTCATAACTTAGTTTAATAAATTTGCTAAACTTTTTTGTTCAAAAGACAAATCAAGTTTAATATTTTTGTCTAAATGCAATTAATAGGGGGGGGGGGGGGGGGAAAGGAGATAAAGAAAAAAGGGGAGTGAGGTCTCAAAAAAACAGGTGGGTGGAAATTTTTATTTTTCTTACTATAAGTGAGTTTATACTTATTAATTTTTAAGATCTGCTGGTTTTAAAAATTAGAAAATTGTAACTGAAAATTTTTGTTTTAGCTATAAGATACAGTTACTTTGTTCATAACAAGTAAAGTTTAATAAACGTGGATAGGGGGTCCTAATAAGCTTAGGATAGGTGGGAAAAATTAACCAAAAATTAATAAACATCAACTTCCCTGTATTAAGCACTTTTTTCCTTTGATTTTTCATAATTTCTGTTTGATAAGTTAAAAATTTACATTAAAGGTTTTATAAGTAACACATGTAAATTTGACCATGTTTTTTTTTTGTTTATTTAAGGAAAGATCATGCTCCAATTCTTTGTAACAAGTCTAACTAAGCTATTTAGAGCAACATTAAAAAAAAAGAGCTACATTTTAAATATTTTAAAAAATTATTGAAGAATCTCATCATAATATAATAATATAACAATTCAAATAAAATTTTAATGATGAAAATCTATATCAAACTAAATTCAACTTAACAACAAAACAACAACAACAATAAAAACATCAACAACAAAAACAACAACAACAATAACAACAACAAAAAAACTCCAAAAACAATAACAACAACAGCAACTGCAACAACAACAACAACAACAACAAGATAAACAACAATAACAACAACAATAACAACAACAATAACAACAATAAAAACTCCTAGAACAATAACAACAACAACAACAACAACAGCAACAACAACAACAACAACAAAATTAAATCATGAATACTAAAACTGCAAAATAAGTATTTTTTGATAAAATTTGAAATCTATTAATAAACTTTGATTTAGTTTAAAACAGTACAAAATTCTTAAAAACTAATCTTTAGATTTATTTTAAGAATTTTGTGGGGATGTCAAATGTTTTGAGTTTTATTTGTTTCTATGCTCCAGTACCAGTAAATTTCTTCCAAAATATCTATGTTTTACAATGTAATATTGAAATATTTTACAAAATATAATTTTTACATAAAATTAAGGATAATAATCTTTTAATTCCAATATCAACAACAGCAGTTGTCAATAATCTTTGTGATCTTTACTGTGTTTATATCTTTATTACTTAAACTATTACTTTGCATAAATCACCCCTATACACTGTTTTGCAGTCAAACACTATCCTGGATACTTTACAAATTGAAAAACTTGGCAACAGAAATTATGGATTTTACATGACACATTCAGTATCTTTCAGAGTATTTTTCTTGCAGATAGATAAAAGTATTTACAAAAATTAATTCTGAGTCAAAACAAATTTTTTAACAAAACTCTATTTTATGAATTTAAACCCTCTTAAGCTAAAGACTGCAGGTACATAAGGTACTTTAATTTATACTTCAAGTTGAATTTCTACTTCAAGTTGAATTGTACTTAAACTTGAATTATCAATAAATTTTAAATTATTTCCACTATTACCATCCTATACAACTCCGTTACATACTCTTTTGGATTTAAGTTAGGGCAGCAATCATATTTTTTTATTATTATTTATGTTTTCTATTTTTTGCAAAAAAAATGTATGGATTTAAGTTAGCAAAAATGTATGTATATTTATATACAGAATAGTAGATTATAAAATGTAAAATTTTTTCTCATCGAATTTTCTAGTTATAATTGTCACTAGGGGGCATTGAAAAACAACAATTTTTAAAAATTGCCTTGTCTGAACTCTAAACGTATTTTATGTAATAAAGTCACACTAAATTTAAATTTTTTTTAAACAAAATTTATTTTTTGGAGGTGCACCTTTAACATTTTACGGGTCCCTAATATATGGTACTTAAAAGAATCAAAATAATATAAAAAACTTTGAAAGAATCAAAATGATATAAAAACTTTGAAAACAATTGTTTCGTATAAAAACTTGCATTTTAAATTTTTTTCATAAAAACTTTTGATTTTTTTTAAAGATGTTTTTCAAAAACAAATATGATTTTTTAAACTTTTATATAATTTTGCTTTTTTTGAGTACCAGGTTAACCAACTTTTGAAGATTTTTTTTTACGTATATATTAAGAACCTTTTAAATGTTCAAGGGTCTTGTGGCATCTCTAAAATTTTTTTAGTGCAAAAATTTTTAAATCTAGTGTTATTTTAATTATGAGGAACAGGTTCAGAACTCAGATAGTTAATAAAGATTACAATTTTTAAAAAATAAACATTTTTGTTAGTCATTTTTTTGAAAAAATGACTAACACAAAAGCTTTACATTGACTTAGGGTGCTTGCCCAAAATCTATATTTAGGCAGTTTTTATTTAATTTATATTTAAATTTTTAACTACAGCAAAAAAAGATTTTTTTTTCTTTTTTATTCTCTTTCTTTATTTTGCTTCCTCTTTCTAAAAAAACTGTCTAGATTCATATATATATACATACCTTTCCGTTTAATACAATATTTTGACTTCCACATAAAACTGATTGGCGACTGACTTTATTTCCAGAAGCCTAAATTTTAGTTAATACATTTCGGTATTAAAAAAAAGATCAATTTATTAAAAACAAACCAAATTTAATTATAAGGTACTTATAATAAAGTTTAATACATACAGTGCAGAGACCTCCGCAAGAAGTCTCTGCATTGTCTTTATAAAACTTAATTATGAATACCTTATAATTAAATTATAAGCCAATGGCGGATTCTTTTTTATAATGATTTTATAAATAAATTAAAAAAAAAAAAAGAAAGATAAAGAAGAAATAAGAAAATAAGAAAAGTAAATAAAAGAAAAATAAAGAGAGTGAAGAAAAGAAAAAGAAAGAAATGAAAAAGCAAAAAACAAACAAAAAATTAAAAACCAAATCAAACAAATTAACAAAAGTAAAAAAAAACATAAAAAGAAATGGGAAAAGAAAAAGAAAAGACAAACAACCAAAGTTAAAAGTAAAAAAATTTTGAAAATGGAAAGTAATTAAAAAGAATTAAAATATAAAAATTGCTCTGTTTTTGAAGAAACGAAAAAGAATAACTTTTAAATTTTATGTTTATTATTTTATATATATTTACTTTTATGTATATTATGTTATATATACTTCCATAATCTCTTTATAATCATTTTCATAAATTACTAAACAGAAATGTTTCAGCTTTTATATAACTTCTGCTCCATAGTATTAAGCTAAAATTTCAAACGCGTATTTAATCAATTCACCGAATTAACAAATTGCACAAAAGTAAACAATATAAAACAACAATAGTAAACAATATAAAAGTATAAAACAAAGCTTCATGATTTTTTTTTAAAAAAATCCCTCAAATTGCACACAAAATAAAACGGCATTTTTTGAAAACGAAAGGCCCTAAACACTATATTTTTCCTTAGATCTCTCCTTAACTACGCTGAGTATCTCAGTATTAACATTACTTTCAAGAGTTTATGAAAAAATAATATCCAGACAACTCTTCAAATAAAGTGAAGTTAAAAAATGAATACCAATCACACAATATGGATTAAGGAAGAATTCCAACTGTGAAACTGCTTTAATAACAGCAACTAACTCCAGGTATAGCTTATTTGATAAAAGCAAACTTGTAGGCACCCTATTAATAGAATTATCCCTATTAATAGAATTAACAAAAGCATTTGATAGTGTCCTACATCAAAATCTACTAAATGAACAAGCAAAAACAGTATAAAGCCAAAAAGCTGGTAAACTATTTTAGAAATACCTAAAAAGATTTCAGAGGGTGAAAAATAAATTTAACCATTAAAAGCCGATATCAAGAGGAATACCTAAAGGTGGCGGCCTTAGCCAAGAACTATTCAAAATCTACATCAGAGATCTTTCGCAAGCATTAATAACTGAATCTTATTAATTTGCAAATGACATTAATCTATTACCTGCAAACAGCTCTTGGCAAGTTATTAATGAGAAAATGATCAAAACATTTGAAGATACCAATAATAGTTCTGTGTTGATTATGGTTTCACTATTAACCCCAGTAAAACGCAAGTAATAGTGATCAAATCACTAAAAGAAAAACTTCCTGATAACTTAAAAATTAAAATTGGAAATATTGAGATACAACCAGTAACTCATGTTAAGCTATTAGGGGTCACTATAGATTAGCTGTTATATAGCTGTTATTATAGCATCTGAAAAAATGCCCTGATGGTTTGGGAATATTAGCTCAAGCATCTGTCGTGCTGTAAAGAAAACTGTTAAGTATACAAAGTATACTTAACAGTTTTCTTTACAGCATTTAGTATACAAAGGACTTATGCATAGCCAATTAGAGTATGCCAGTACATTATACCTTGGACAACCCAAAGCATAACTAAAGTGGCTAGACGTAATACAAAAGCAGTGTGTTCCAATTATATCACAAATCTAGGAACACCTATTCTGCTCCCCTTATAAACAAACTAAAGCTTGATGCCTTAGAAAAGAGAAAAATTGATCATGCAACAAAAATTGTCAAATTTACTTTTTCAGTTATATGTCATCCTATGGCTAACATATTTACTAATGCCTAACATATATTTAATATGGCTAACATATTATCTAACATATTTATTAATGGCTAACTAATATTTACTATGGCAAACATATCATCTATGGCTAACATATTTACAACAAATAAAGACTCAAACTTTATAGTTAAAAAAGCAATGCACCATCATGGAAGCAAATACTTCAATATTACAGGAGCCAACATTTTTAATAAAATTAATCTTGTATGCCATCAGCATATACTACTCAAGCAGTGGAAGAGAAATCAGCAATTAAAGAACACTTAAGAACAATAATAATAATAATAATCTTTAATTTATTTTATAAATTGTAAAGACAAAGGTGTAATTGAGCTTAAATAATAAACAACAATAATAATAATATTTATTATATTATAAATTGTATGTTTTTTTTCTTATGTTTTTTCAGTGTAAACAAATTATTGAACATTTAATTTAAAAAATTTTACTACTTTGTGGATAATGCTAAATGGTATTATTAAATTATTATTATATGGTATTAAAAAACGGAAAAAAACACATACTGAAACTTTTTAGTCCCTGTGTAATAAGGTGAAAATAACAAAAACAAAAAAACACTTAAGCCCACATAATGCTGATAAATTAGATGAAGATAGTGATCATTCAATGTCAAACTTAAAAACCTCTGTCTTTAATTGCATTGAATGTGAAATTAGTATTCATGGAAAAAGTGTTGAATGTGGAGTATGTAAAGAATGGTGTCATCTTAAATGTAGTATACTCACTAATGATGACTTTAATGCAATAACGAAACTTAAAAAATCCAGAGTTATATGGTTTTGTTTTAAATGTGAAAAAAAACTTGTTAAAATGAATAAAAACGATAAAAAAGTGAAATATACATTTGTAAAAGAATTATATACTGATAACAAAATATTAAATAAGGAGATCACAGAACTAAAAATTGAAAATGAGTTAATAAAGAAAGAGTTGCAAGTTAAAATTAAAATAAAACAAATCCCAATAATATCAAGCAATGTAAATAGTATATCTGAAAGAACATTTAGTGAAATTGAAAATGAAATTTAGTCAAAAAAATTAACAATCATGATAATATTAACAATCATGATAAAATTAACATAAAGAAGTTGATTATGGACAATATCAAACCAAAAGAAATAGGAGTAGAAATTCAACATATCCGAAATCAAAATAATGAAGTAATCATAAGGTGCAATGATGAAAAATCAAAAGACAAACTCTATCAGGAAATTTAAAGGAAAATTAGGTGTAAATGTCCAGTTGAAAAAGGTAACACTGAAAAAATGAAAAGGATTCAATTTAAGATTACCAAACACGATGAGGTATTCAATGAGATATTGGCAACGATATAATAGCTCTAAATAATTTGAGTAATAAGGCTAAAGTCATAGTTGTGAACAGAATTAACATGACAAAGAATAAATATGAACTGGTTATAGCTGATATAGATATAAACACATATGAATACATTATACATAAGAAAAATGGTAGATTAGCAATTGGCTGGGAGTCTGTGCAAATTCGAAAACATATAAATATTATCCAATGTTACCATTGTCAAGGTTACAATCATATAGCAAAAAATTGTCACTTTAATACTCCTTCATGTTGCTACTGTTCAGGTGATCATTACAGTAAAGATTGTCAAAATCACAAAAGTAATTGGTGTGTTAATTGCCTTAGCAAAAACAAAAAATTCAATTTAATGATAAATCCTCGACATTGTGCATTCGATAAAAAATGTCCAGTATATAATGACATTAAAAATAGAGTGGAATTAAAGTATGACAACTAGCAATCAATAGTAGTAAAAGACATTAAAATTGCATATACAAATATAAATGGTCTCATAAATAAACTTGACAGAGTTACACTATATTTACAAAAATTTAAACCTCATATACTTGGATTAACTGAAACCCACATAACATCCTTAATCTTTGAAAAAGAGCTTGAAATTTTCGGTTATTCTTTTATAAATTTAGAATCATCAAGTGCTCATACTGGTGGTTGTATATTATATTATAAAAATGACATAAAAGTAAATTGTGATCCTAAATCTATCGTCAAGGACAAGTGTCATTGGTTATTATATACTGAACTAGTCATTAACAAAATTAAGTTTTATTTTAGTGTTTTGAATAAATCTCCACAAGAGAACAAAACCATCTTCTTGGAGTTTTTCGATACTAGGATTACTACAATTCATTCAAAAAATATTATCATTCTTGGTGACTTTAACATAAATACACTTTCAAATGACAAACACTCTATAGCACTAAAGCAATCTATCAAAAATAATCAAATGTATATTTTCAACAGTACACCAACAAAAATATCTGAAAAATTAAGTACTTGTATTGACTTAGCAATTTCAAATTGTACTCTTATCGAAACTAATGAAAAAGAAAAACTTTCAGATCATGAAATGATAACTTGTAAATATTCTATCAAAGAAAAAAGACGATTCAAAACTAAAAAAGCAAACAATAGTGTTGTCAACAGTAGTAAACAAAACTTCCATAAAATTGATTATTCTTTATTAAATAAAAACATTTCAGTTGAATTAAAAAATATAAAAAAAAGAAATTGATTTGAAGTAATGGCTAATAGTTATACAACAATTATTAAAAATAACATAAATATGCAAAAAAAGTTTTATAAAACGAATAAGGAAATCAACAACAACAATCCATCTATTCTCAATAACTGGTTAAGGAATTCTAAATATACCGATATAGTAAAAGAATATAATCAAGAATGGAAAACATTTGTTTGGTTTAAATACCATGGTTTTAGTGAAAGCAAATGTAAAATACAATATAACAAATTTAAAAAAATAAGAAATAGAAAAACATCACTATTAAGAAAACTAAAAGCTGATTACTATAAAATAAAAATTGATTCAGTCAAAAATGATCCTAAAGCTATGTGGAATTTGTTGAAATATCAAACATCTGTCAAACCAATAATTAAATCAAATATAATGGATGATATTAAATTTGATGAAGAAAATGTTATTAGAAGTTTTCAAAGAGATGACACAAAAAAATCTATTCCAGATAAATATAATTAATTTTTAATCCAAAGTATAACAGATATTGAAACATCAATTCAAAGTGATATGAGTTATAATGCTATGGAAAATTTATTACTAAATGATAATATTCCTTGTTTTTGTGAATTTACTTCTTTAACTATGCAAGACTTAAATGATATAGTAAATCGATTACAAAACAAGAATTCAATGTGTGAGGGCTTAAATGTTATTATATTCAAAGAATTGCACTCATCATTTTCAAGTATTCTATTAAAAATTATTAATTTATTGTTACAAAATGGGAAAGTTCCTTCTAAATAGAAAAAGTCAACAATCATTCCAATTCCAAAGCTAATGTCGCCAAAGTTACCACAAGACTTAAGACCAATTAATATGCTTCCTACTTATAAAAAAATATTATAAATTGCTGTTCACAAGCAGTTAAGAAAGTTATTTTTAAAGTAATAATATTTTTTATAATAATCAATTTGGTTTCAGAAAAAATAGATCAACTGAATCAGCTATTCAACTACTACTTTCTAAATGGAGAACATCTTTGAACAACAATAAATTTGTTGTAACAGTAATGCTAGATCTTAAAAGGGCATTTCAAACAGTCAATAGAAAGATTCTTATACAAAAATTACAAGGTTATAAAATTAAAGGTACAGTTCTCAATTGGATTGCAGACTATCTTTCGATGAGAACTCAAGTAGTCAAAATAAAAGGTGAAGAATCTGGCGAACTAGTTTGTAATATAGGGGTTCCACAGGGTAGTGTACTTGGACCTCTTTTGTTTATCATTTACATGAACGATATTGCATCAAAAATTGAGTATTCTTTTGTAAATTTGTTTGCTGATGATACATTGGTTTGTATTGAGGGCACAAACTTCGAAGAAACTATTTTTAAATTAAATCAAGACTTGAAAATACTTTGTAAATGGTTAAGTAATAACAAACTTAAATTAAATACTCTTAAGTCCATGGAAATGCTTATTGTTAATTCAAAAAAAAGAAAAAATAGTTTAATAAATCATAACAATAACATAAAAGTGATATTGGATGATGTGGTCATTGAATTTAATGATAGCGTGAAATATCTAGGGATTATTATCGATTACCAACTTAATTTTACTGAACATATCAAATATATGTCTAATAAAATTGCAAAGAAAACTGGATATCTTGGTAGAATATGCAAATACTTAACTTATTTGACCAAAAAGATAATCTTTCAAACTATAATTGCTCCCCACTATGAATACAATGCTTCTATTTTTCTTGATGTCAACACAAATAACTTAAATATCCTAGAAAATCTTCAAAACAAAGCAATGAGAATTATATTAAAATGTCACTGGTTAACTCATAAAACAGAAATGTTGAATTTGCTTGGTTGGATCAGTGTAAAAAACAGAATAACTTTTAAATCACTCTGTTTCATTCATAATGTTACATTGACTGTAAATGATATATTTAAACCGTTCTATTCAAAAAATAGCGAGTTACATCAACATTACACAAGACAAGCTAGTTATTTTCATAAAAGCAGCCAATGCAATAGAGCAGGACAGAAGTCATTGTTTGTGTTGGTTTGAAACTATACCAGGAAATAGCTGGTGGATTTGTTCAGCTGGACTACGAAAAATTCAAAAAAAAACTGCTTCAAACACTTAAGAGTAACCAACTTATATAGTGAACATTTATTTTGTAAAGTAGATTATTTATTTTGTATAAGTTACTAAACTAATATGAAGTTGCTAAATAAATAAATAAATAAAAAATAAAAAATACATTGGAGCTTGTTTTCATATAAAAAACAAAACATCAGAAAACTTACTGTTTCAATATATTCTGCTTTACTGTACATTACAGGAGGAAACTCCATCTTAACCTAAATTTTCATATAATAAATATGTTTATTTTTCATTCAATATTATCAATCAATCATTATTTTATATAATAATAACTACATTTAGATATATATATATATATATATATATATATATATATATATATATATATATATATATATATATATATATATATATATATATATATATATATATATATACATAAATTTTTATATATAATAATAACAATAATAATAATAACAACAATAATAATAATAATAATAGCAATAATATTAATAGTAATAATAATAACAATAATAAAAAATCTGAAATAATAACGCAACCTAAGAAAATCATACAACCAATATTTAAAAAATAAAAATATAAACGCCTTCGAATAGAGAAAAAAAAAAAATTTTGTTTGGTCAAGTTTTTTTTATTATAAATTAAATATAACATCACAAATAAAACAGCACAAAAAAATTTTTACTATTTTTACTTTTAATCTACCATCTTAAAAACTAAAAGCGAAACTAATTTTATTTTTTCACGTTTTACAATATATATATTTATTAGGCAATATCTATTTTATAACAAAATTTCTTATTTATAAAGTTTGTCCCTTCAAGTTAACTATACGATAACACTTAAATACAATTTATATTTCCTCAGTACCAAACTATAAAAAAATACACGATACACGTTATATATTTATTCATTTATTCTAGTTTTTAGGTCACATCGATCGTGCGAAAGTTTTACGTAATAAAATATAAATGTTACAGCAGTTTCCATAACTACCGCTGCTTACAACATTTTAACCTCAACTTTTAATTTTTAATTTTTTTATTATTATTATTATTATTATTATTATTATTATTATTATTATTATTATTATTAGTTATTTAGGTGCTCCAAGAGGCCCTAATGGTTTTATCACAGAGCACAACGGGCCTCAAGTTTTGAAACTAGAACTCTAACCACTACACCACGGCTGCTATTTCATATACATGTAAAGGTTGTAAAAATATTGTAAAATATGAAAATGTTCTATTGAAGAAATATTTGCTTCAACTATTATAGAAATAAAATAAAATATTATATAAAAATAAAAAAAAGTATTATTTTTTTCGTTGCTGAAAAGGTCGGCCGTACAGATACCCTATCCGAATAATTACAAAACACACGTGTGTTTTGAAATTATTCGGATAGGGTAACAACTATTACCTTTTTTTTTTTAACTAAACTGAAACTCCTTACATTCGAGGAACAATTGTATAAAAAATGACAGAAGCAACATCAATTTAAAAAAAAAAATTCAAAAAGTTCCCTCACCATTTTATTTAATTTTTTTCACTTATAGCGCAGTTTGACTATAGGTTTCAATTTTACAATGAATTTTTATATAACATTGTAGTCTACTTTTAAGCAGATTCCAGTCCACTGTTTAAATTTGTTTATTAACAAGGTATTTACAGATTGTTGTGAATTTTATTTTCTCTGTTTTGATCCCAACTATACCATGTTCTCTCTATATAGTTATTTTATTATTGTTATATTTTATTTATTTTCTATTTCAGTTGCAAATATATAATGTATCTATATATTATTGAATATTTTGAAAGATTGGAAAAATTTTTAAATGCTTTGGATTTTTTATCTCGTTTTCAGTGCAAAATTGCAAGTCTTACAGAGAGGAAGAAAAGTGCAAGACACTTAATCACCTTAAAACCATAATAAAATGTCTTATAGAAATTCAACCAACAGTGTAAGGTCAAACAGGTGCATTTGGATAAAGAATTTACCCTTCCCTTGTTAACTGAAAAGGGATCCAAGGATTTCATCTGTTGAAAAACTTAATTTGTATTTGTTTGAAATAAAAATTTTATTACACATATAAAATTTCTCTGGATAGATATTCTAGACTTTCAACAATTATCCAGCGCACTTTTCAGAAAGAAACTCGATAGTCTAATTGATCTATATGACAAAAACAAAAAGAAACCATCTGATAAATTTACTGGAACACTTACTCAGTTTTTTGATGTCACCCACATTAATGGAGAATGAAAAAGCACGAAGGATAAAGAGCTCAACCAGAGGCAATTTAAGAGTGGAAGAAAGATTGGATATTCGATGGTCAAACAAGCCCCTTTGGAAACATCAGCTAATTGATAAACACAATGCTTGGTTAAATTTTTGCATGATAATCTGTGACACGACCGAGTAAATAATGGTTGTTTGCACGGGGTTGTACAGCTCATACAGGATGATGTCTTGAGCAAGGGCTGCAATAACTGGCTGTCAGCACAATGTACTTGACTTCCTTTTGAAACATGTCATGAATTTTCTTATTCAAGAGCCAACGAACAAACCAGAACTTAACTACTATTTCATTGACAAATTAACAGAAAACTATGTCTCTCTTCAAGCTGATTTCCACATCTTTACGACAGATGATGTTAACACTGGCGAGAACTCTGGATGGCGAGATGATTTCAAGTTTTTATATGAACTATCTCAGACATATTGTCATTATAAAACAACTTTTTCAGCTGATTTGAGGCCTTGTTGGCCTCAAATCAGCTGAAAGAAACTCAAATCAGCTGAAAAAAACAAATTTACATCAGGCAAGATGGAACTCGCGTGCGTTATATGCCACTATTGCATTCTTTCTGATACCAGAGAGGCGCAGCATCCTTGCTCCAGCATCCAACTTTATCTGCTACGAATGGGCAAATACTTTTTTACATTGACAATAATACAATGAAACCTCCTTCGATGAACTCCTTTCTTCACTCATCAGAATAAGGTAATTAAAGGTGTTAAAGACGCATTGGTCAATGGTGTTGTAAAGTTAATGGAGGAACTTTACGCGAAATCGAGAAAAATTTTTGAATCTGAAGTCGGAAAAGTTTTTTTTTTTAACATTTCTTTTATATTTTGTGCAAGTTGCTAACTGTTCTGTTTTATATTTTTTTTTTTTAACATTTCTTTTATATTTTGTGCAGGTTGCTAACTGTTCTGTTTCATTTTTTTTTTTTTTTAACATTTCTTTTATATTTTGTGCAGGTTGCTAACTGTTTTGTTTCATATTTTTTTTTTTTTAACATTTCTTTTATATTTTGTGCAGGTTGCTAACTGTTCTGTTTCATATTTTTTTTTTTTAACATTTCTTTTATATTTTGTGCAGGTTGCTAACTGTTCTGTTTCATATTTTTTTTTTTTTTTTAACATTTCTTTTATATTTTGTGCAGGTTGCTAACTGTTCTGTTTCATATATTTTTTTTTTTAACATTTCTTTTATATTTTGTGCAGGTTGCTAACTGTTCTGTTTCATATATTTTTTTTTTTAACATTTCTTTTATATTTTGTGCAGGTTGCTAACTGTTCTGTTTCATATATTTTTTTTTTTAACATTTCTTTTATATTTTGTGCAGGTTGCTAACTGTTCTGTTTCATATTTTTTTTTTTTTTTAACATTTCTTTTATATTTTGTGCAGGTTGCTAACTGTTCTGTTTCATATATTTTTTTTTTTAACATTTCTTTTATATTTTGTGCAGGTTGCTAACTGTTCTGTTTCATATATTTTTTTTTTTAACATTTCTTTTATATTTTGTGCAGGTTGCTAACTGTTCTGTTTCATATATTTTTTTTTTTAACATTTCTTTTATATTTTGTGCAGGTTGCTAACTGTTCTGTTTCATTTTTTTTTTTTTTTAACATTTCTTTTATATTTTGTGCAGGTTGCTAACTGTTCTGTTTCATATTTTTTTTTTTTTTTAACATTTCTTTTATATTTTGTGCAGGTTGCTAACTGTTCTGTTTCATATATTTTTTTTTTTAACATTTCTTTTATATTTTGTGCAGGTTGCTAACTGTTCTGTTTCATATATTTTTTTTTTTAACATTTCTTTTATATTTTGTGCAGGTTGCTAACTGTTCTGTTTCATATATTTTTTTTTTTAACATTTCTTTTATATTTTGTGCAGGTTGCTAACTGTTCTGTTTCATTTTTTTTTTTTTTTAACATTTCTTTTATATTTTGTGCAGGTTGCTAACTGTTCTGTTTCTTATTTTTTTATAAGAGTTGCTTAGTTATTACCATTACTTTTTTGAATAATGAATAAAAAACATGTTTGTTTTTTTGAAAAAACACAAAAAGTATCCTCAATTGCAAGTGGTTTCATAAAAATGTTTTTTTTTTTGTTATTACCCAAGTGAACACGATGCAAATAATCATCTATGTTTTTTTCAATTACCATTCACAATCAGTGAAAGTTTTAAAAAAAAAAATTATTTTGATTTTGTACCAGATAAATAAATAGTATAATACAATGCTTGTTTATTTTTTGCAGAAAAATCAGCCATAAAACAAGGCAAACATGATTTAAAAAACTTCACTGAATTTTTAAGAAAATCTCGCTGTTAATTAAACTTCATTTTCTAAAAAACTGTCAAATGAAAAAAATAACGCTTTTTAATCTAAACATTTTTATACAGTAGAAGAAAAATTTACTGATTTTTAATTATTAAAAACTTTGTTAAAAGTGTTTAAATTAATTAAAAAGCGTTAATATTTATTTCTTTTTACCTTTTATTTTATCATTTTCAAACCATTTAGTTAATTTTATCAATAGAGAGCGATGCTTGTTGTGAAAACAATAAAATCGAAAAAACTTACTCATTGTTTTAACTTGTACATGTTGAAATAAGCTGAGAAATAATGCTGATATTCTCAAAATACTGAACTATGTTATACAACTATTATTACTTCCAACATTAAAGGTTTTCCACCACTAAATATGTCACTTTAATGGTAACTTGATTTGTTTTATTAGACTTCTCCTTAGATATTTAAAAGTTAAGAGAGCTGAGTGTTTCATAGCTTTGAATTTACCAATCAATTGCAAAAAAAAGTTACTGATTGATTGATACCAATTGAGGTTACCAATTTATAGCAGAAAAAAACGGTAGAAATTTTTTTCTTATTTAAAAATTAATGTTGAACTTTTAAAGCACGTTTGTTTCAAAAAAAAA